CAGAAATGGCTGCTAAGTAGACTTTAATTGTGGAGAAGGAGAGCCCTTTATCCAGTAGCTTCTGAAGAAATGTTAAATCATCTCCTATTGCGCACTGAAAAGGGTCCAGGTGCCCGTTCTTACACCATCGCTCAAAAGCTTGCCACTTATAGGAATATAATTGTCTAGTGGATGAAGCTCTTGCATTTTGGATAGTTGCTATTACTGCTGGAGAAAGGCCTTTGGCTAATAAGCTGGACCTTTTATCAGGTAAGCATGCAGCTTCCATAGTTCTGGGTGTGGGTGAAAAATCTCCCCTCTGCCTGAGAGAGGAGATCTCGTCGAACCGGAAGTTGCCAGGGTTGAGCTGCTAGCAAGCTGATWATCTCGGTGTACCAAGACTTCGCTGGCCAGCGGGGTGCCACTAGGATCAGAGATAGGCTCTGTCCGCACACCCTCTCTAGCACAAGTGGTATCATTTCCACTGGGGGAAACATACAGAAGTACATCGGGCCAAGGATGAGCTAGGGCGTCCACTCCCAGAGGAGCACTCTGCTCTGTCATGGTAAAGAACAGAGGACAGTGTGTGTTTGCTCTGGAGGCAAACAGATCTACTGTCACTTTGCCAAACAAAACCAAAATCTGGGCCACCACAGTGGGTTGCAGCCTTCACTCCTTTGCTAGAAGTCCGCCCCTGGAGAGGAGGTCTGGACCTAGGTTCAGTCTCCCTGGAACATGAATGGCTCTGATRGACAGAAAATGAACACTGCTCCACTGTAAGAGTGTGAGACAGGTTCAGCAGGGGAAGGGACCGAGTCCCCCCTTGTCTGTTTACATAAGAGACCACTGCTGTGTTGTCCGTTCTGATTAGAAGATGATGGTTCTCCAGAACTGGACAAAAATGTTTCAGTGCTAACAGGACCACTAACAATTTTAGGCAGTTTATGTGGAGCCTGGACTGTTGTGGAGTCCAGGTTCCCCTCACTGCCGCACCGTCGCACAGGGCTCCCCAACCTTTCAGGGAGGTGTCTGTGGACACCACTTTACGAAACGACACCCTCCCTATTGGAGAACCCTGATACAGGAGGCCGGGTTCCCTCCAGGGGCTGAGAGCCGTCATGCAGGAAGCAGTTATTGTTAGCTTTTTGTGTCTGTGTCGAGACGGACACAGCCTGTGGGACTGAGACCAACGCTAAAAACGGTGCATTTTTAACAGCCCGAGAGGTACTACTGAAATCATGGAAGCCATCATTCCCAGTAACTGTAGTACGGTTTTGAAGCTCAGTTTGCTTCCCAGTTGAAACTGAGCTAAGCAGCGRTGAAACGCGGCCGCTCTGTTTTCTGAGAGGTGAGCCCTGCTTGACAAGGAGCAGATTTCTAGTCCGAGGAACGAAAACGGGTGAGGCCGCCTCATGCTCCATCTGGTCCGCCCAGCTAGCGGCGAGGGCTTCGACCGCCGAATCCTCGTCTTCATCGGACTGAGCCATCTGGTTGGATTCGGAGAGCAGCAGGTCTTGTCGGAAAACAGCAGTTTCCCCCAGCATTTTCACTCTCCTCTCCAGTGTCGGACACGAAAGTCCGGCACAGGCCCGGCAGGACTCGGGCTCCACAAGCGCCCGTCAAGCATGAATGATTCCCAGGCAGGCAGGCAGGGCAGGCCTCATGCTGGTCCTTCTCATGAAGCTTAAAGCTGCACCCCTGAGGACAGGGGCTAACAGAAGACTTCGGCTTCTTCGAAGGTGGTTTTGTGCTCATCGTGAACCACAAAACAGATTTTCAGCAGAAAATAAAGGTCACTTAAGTAGCGTTGAGCGGCAGACATACGAACCAGCAGGTAACACGGTTAATACCAGTAAAGCTAGCCTAAGAACCTTCTAGAAGCTGAGCTAACTAGCAG